ATGACTTTTGATACTCTAATCGGTCAACGGCACCATCTAGCGACAACTAAATTTTTTCTTTAAGAACATTTACAGAGGGGAACGCCATTGATCGGCTGTGCTTCAATTAATTATTGCAGGACATTTATGCACTGTAGGAAAAAAATAATACAAGAATTTTCGACTCCTTTTTCAACAAGGACAGCGCTGTATAAACCGTGATTGCCAGTTCTATTACACCCTGGATGATGACCATCTCATGATATCTTAACAGATATAGTGTGGTAGACAAGAATGAGGCAGAAAAATAGGTTTTTCGATTCTTAGAGTAACGAATCCAATCCCCGAAAGATCGACAAGTAAAGAATTAAGGCGATATGATAGGGTCATTCTACATATATAGCCCGTCAAAATATTTATAAAACATTTCTCCAAACTGTGGGTGCACCGAATGATTTAAAACTTTAGCATGAGATTACGGAGGCTCTAAAGAAGAACGCGATAGTCGTGAAATTTCATTTTTTTCAAAATATTGTGATTTTAGTTCAAGTCTAGGCTAAATAAAAAAGAATTTTGTTTGAAAAATGAAATGTCAGGAGCATCGCATTCTTCTTTAGGGCCTCCATAATCACGTGTTAAAGTTTCAAATTATTTGGTGCACCCAGTTTTAAGAAAAGTTTTATAAATATTTTGACGTTTTATATATATGTATAGAACCCTTTCATATCACCTTAAAAATCGATTTCCTTTATTAACCCTCTCATTGCGGCAGTCCGCCCTGCCAGACAATCGCCACTGAACACGACACTGCGCCCAAAGGGTGCGCATTGCGCGACGGCAGTCTTCGGTACTCGAACTTACGTCTTCCACACGAACAACGCCTCCTTGACTGCCTTTTGTATGTACACTTTTCTAAGTGTTAAATGAGCCGCTCAGTGCATACATTGATTAACTCCATAAAACAAAAAGTTGAGAAATGCGATGAAGTAATGTAGATTCTTTTTTAAAATTCCTATTATAATATAACTTCAAATATATAATGTAGAATACATAAATACAGTTATAGTTTTCGTCTAACGGTATATAAAATTAATAAGAAAGAATAGCCAAAAAATAATCGTCTGCATTTTATATCGACAAATGTTTTTGCAGGTATTAAATTTCCTCCCCTATTCCTGTATGCCAAACTTTTTGTTCCGTTATGCTTTTGTAAATTTCGTGCCCATTTATCAGGATTACGACTTCTTTTTCTCCCAATCGATGGGTTTGTTGGGGAATTTGTACCACATCCATATTGTTATTAGTTTCACTCATCTTGATTATAACGGTATAATATTTAGTTCTTTAAAAACAATCAGGGAGTAATGTTGAAAAGACCAAAAAATATGTAGTCCGTGTAATATTGGTGAAGTATACGGTAACATTCAGCGGGAGAGATCACCGTTATACTAACTACCGTCTGCATTGCGCTTCTTTCTATCTGTTTGCTGATGCGATTTTATTACTCATATCGTTGAAAGGGGAAAAGCATCTTCGGCTGTTTAAAAAAAAAAGCGTCGATGTACGGCCGCAACAGATAATCCAATAATACTATACTGCCAGGTATTCGTCTACGATTTACATTAGAGTATGGAGTTAATCAAAATGGCTTCTGAAATAAATTACTTATTATTCAATGCCCAAAAAAATTTTGCCGTTTAATGGTGTTAATCTCCATTAATCGGGAAAGATATTATAAATATAAAAAGTTAGGACTATACCAAGTGCTTTGACACCTAAATTGAAGATTTTTCAAAAAGTGGAGTTAGTTGATGTGTGCACTGAGCGGCTCAAATAGCAACTGTTTTGCCGTATTATTCCATTATTAAATTTCTAAATAAAAGTATAACCTTGAACTTTTAAGAAAATAAAAGTTATACCAATAGTTGGTCTTCTCATCTCGATTCGATAGCCAAACTGTGTTACGTACGTTCAAAATGTACTTTCAGTATGAGTAATCCAATACGGGTCAATACAATCAAAACATACTCAACAGATATGGCAGAACTTGTACCGACTAAAGTCGGCGCTCGTACACAAAGGTCGTTGCATGTGTGCCGATTATAGTCGGCGCTCGTAACGAAAGGGTTAAAAGAATCAAATCGGAATCGAGCACCTCTATAGAATAGTCTCCGCAATTGCGCGCTGTCATTCGTCATTTCACGTGCAAGGAAATGCGCTTATAGGTTAACATCACATGCACGGGAAGACGTGTAACGCCAGTACCCACTGACAGGGTTGGGTAAGTATAATACATCATGTAATATACGTGGTTTTCTATGTGCATATTACAACATATAATACGTCTTTAGTTTTCTACGTAAGCATAAAGTATATCATGCTCTTCTATTTCTAAATATAAAATAATAAACCCAGGTAGAAATTTGATTTTAAACATGGTTAAATCGAAAAAATTTTAAACACAAGCGCTAGATTAATAATTCCTTAACAATTTTTACATATTTACATGTACGGTACAAGACGTTAACTTTGCGAATACATATATCATACATACTGTGGAATCCGCCAAATTGAAAACGACAAATTCTAAAGAATTTTGAGTACAAGCGCCAAATTAATTTATTGTTCCTTTAGGTGAAGTGAAACACGTCGAGGAACTTGGTCGACGTCGATAAAGAAGATTTTTCTAAATGCCTACGTTCCCGACGTTCGTTTTTATATTGACAGCTGGATCGAATTATATTGGGTATTGTTCCAAATGGCATACTCCACCTGTCGTTTTCGTATAATAATTATAAAGAAATCGAAGTAAAACTCCAGAAATCCTCTGGATTCGTGCTTTCTGGGGCCCTAATTGACTGCAGAGGGACCCCCTGCGCCATCTGTGATTTCCAGGTCAATTAAATTTTTACTCCGAGACCTCGTATTACCATCGTCTTAGCATAGAAGCACATAGAACACTTTTTTTGCCTTTGTCCCGTTCAAATGCAAGTTTATCGATTACCAGAGGGTTCTAAATTGTCGTAAAATTGTCCTGACTCTTTCGATTCTCATATCAGAGCCTTCGATGATTGTATATTGATCGAAATATGAGAGCTCGACGCCATTTTGGTTCTGGTCTTGGTTGAGTTAAAAAATTTTGTTGAAAATTCCAAATTTTCAATGTGTCAGGACAATTCTTAGATGATCAGGAGTGATGTGTCAAAGTTTCGGACAGTTTGGTCTAATACCCTTAAAAAAAAGTGTTGTATTCGAATCGACTGATTTGAAGGGGTTTCACTTCACCTTAAAATATATCTGTATTTACATATGGGCTAAAAGACGTCTATAACCTGGCCAATGCTGTAAATCGTCCATCTACGACATTCTTCATATTGGAAACGTAATTTATTGGTTTTCTACGATTTTCTCCGGTAAACTATTTTGTTTACGTAATATACGTGAAAAATCTCGAAAAATGGGGAATTACCCAACCTTGGCCACTGATGACACGTCAACTTGGTTTTAAAGAATGCACGTTGCTCCTCTGTATCCAACACTGGCCACGAGAATTACGCGTTTTATGTGTGAAGCCACCTTTACACTTCCTCCCGAGTCTCTTTATTTTAAAGTTCAACATATGACTTGTCTATTAAACGATAAAATTGATACTTCTAAAGTGTAGGCATAAAAAGCGAGAGCAACACTGCAAAGTGAATAAATTAAAGTTAACACTGAAGTCGATAACAAGTAATGAATTACTTGGATGATTGGAGTGTAGTTGGAATTTAAATATTGAAATGACGCCGATCAATTTTATGATTAAGGTAAAATTTTAACAATGTTTTTTCATAAATGACAATCAGTGTACTGACACATATTGAAATGTAGTAGCTACATGTTAATCGTTATAAAAATAAATAAAAATATCTATAAAAAATTGAAATATAACTTCAAATTCCATTAAATTAACGTGGCTATGTGAACCTGGAATGCAGTTTGAGGCACATACAAAATTAGCAGGCTTATTGGAATGTTTCTGTGATGTAGATGTTTGTGCCATTTTTTTTACAAAACCCAGAGCTGTTAAAAAAATTAATAAATTCCGAAAATGACCATTTTAACATTTTTGAAGTTTTGGGAAGCTCTGAATTTGCCTAACTGTCAAGGCCAACACCTATCGGTTTAAAAAAATACCGAGTTCAAGTACTATCTCCAGGGTACGCCTGCAAATTAACTCAAGCTACTGCTGGAAACTTGATCCACAGAAAAAGAATCATAAAAATAGTGAAAAGGAAGATTTTAACGTTTCTAAGGACTTTACTTTTGTTCACTGCCAAGGACTACTCCTATCGGTCTCAACAAATTCTGAGCATAAGTACTTCCCGCGATATACTCGCGCAAATTAATGCAAGCCACTGCGATAAGCCTAAGCCATGGAAAAAAATCTTGAAAATTGTCATTTTAACGTTTTTGAGGTTCTTGGGGGCTCTGAATTTTCCTAACGTCAGAGAACTCATTAGAGTAGAAGAATCCAAATTTCCATGATTTCGGAATTCGTTTGTTTTTGAATAGCCCTGGATTTAGTAAAAAAAAAAAAAAATGCCACAAACAAAACTCAACATGACACAAACGTCTATATCACTGAAATATTTCAATAAGCCCGTTAATTTTGTTTGTGCCTCAAACTGCATTCCAGGTTCACACAGCCAATTGACGCTTGAAGCGTAATGCTACATCGCTATGCTGTAGAGGATTGCTGTTGAATACACATGCAAATATTTATTTCGTGAGCATGAAAGATAAGTTGCTAATTAAAAAAGACAAGGGAGTGTACTGATATTGGGGCACTCAGGTGTTAGAATGCAATATTACAAACAAATTTTTAGAAACTCAATTAATTAAGTACTCTTTGCCAACACCCTACATAGTTCAACGTAAACGTGTAATCAAAATTTATCACATATCAATCTCCATATAAATAAAAAAAATGTCATTTTACAAAAAAGTAAATGCGCCATAAAAAAGAACATAGACGTTACCTTCGATGGGTGGGAATGGACTGCTGGGAGTACAATTACTGGCGGGTACCATGCTGATCGTAAAGGGCTTTGTTTCTAGTTGCTGAGAAAATTGTTCATCCGGTTCCATTTTAACCATCCCTTGTGTCTCCGTAAGAGTTGCTTCGCAGGCACAAAGAGCTTTCTCTAGATGCTGCAATGCTTCGGTATGTTCCATGTTCATAAAATTAGACGAGTTTGAACTTTGTGAAACATCAGTAGTCGTCGTTCCTTCAGCGACTGACGGATTATTAGTTGGAGTAGGTGTTACAGAAGTCGGACATTCGAGAGAGCTGGCATTACTTGCATCACTGGGTCGCATATCTTCAGTCTTGACACCTTGTGCAGCAGCTTTTGTGGATGAAATTGGTGTCTCTGTAGGACTACTTGATGGTTGGAGATTATTTTCAGGCTGTGTCTGTTCTCTCCCTTGAGTCGACAAGCCGCGAACCTAATAAACAATTTATCACACATATTAGAATTCCTCTCAATATACTCTTATTTTATTCATTCTGGATGGTTTTAAGATGATATGAAAGGCGCTGAGAAATCTAATCGAGGTCGATACATTAAAATTCATCTATACCCTTTTTGAGGGTAACGTCATTTTGAGTACTTAAGTGGTAACATAAGCTGACGTGTCCGGTTATCGACATTTATATTTATGTTGAAGTCTTTTACAGTCTACGTTCAGTATTATACGAATTGAAGCGTTCCATATGTCATTTCAGTAAAGTAATGATGAAGAGATCAATGTAAAACTATCGAAATCCCGTGAATTCATTATTCTAACGATTGTTTAGGACTAACGTCGCCATCTGCGACGTTTAGCTGCAACTAAATTTTTGCTCTATAAACACGTGTCAGCCCTGAGACAAGTCAGCATTCTCTTGCAATGGTTGGTGAAAGTATTTTCCATATTTTCTCATCCGACTCTGTAATATGCCATTTCTACGGCATTCTAAATTGTTCGAGCTGGGTCCTGAAACTCTTAATTTTCTATTCTAAGCTTCAAGGAGCGTAAAACATCGACAACGTGCACGGGTCACGCCATATTAGTTCTAGTCCATGATAAATAAATAAATTTTGTATGAAAAATGAAATCTCATGAGTTTCAGGACCTACTTCAGGGTCTCCATATTCTCGTAGTCAAATTTGAAACGAGTCGGTACAAACAATTCGGAGAATACTTTCATTAACGATTTGACTTCTCAAATATATATAGATTGAATCTTTCATATCACCTTAAGATGAAGTGAAACGCCCTTCAAATCAATCGATTCTAATAAGACACTTTTGTAAGAATATAGACCGAACTATCTGAAGCTTTGACAAATGACTCATGAACACTTAAAAATTAGCCTGACAATCTCAAATTTTTGATTTTCGAAAAAAAAACTTCTTTTCACTTAGCTTAGACCAAATCCAACATGGCGTCGAGCTCTCATATTTTGATTAATACCTAATAATTGAAGGCTTTGACATCAGAAATGAAAGAAGGACAATTGTCGAACAATTTAAAACATTCAAATTGAAAAACTCGCATTTGAACGGGATAAAGATAAAAAAACGTCTTATGCGCTGATGTGCTAAAACGATGTGAATACGAAGTCTTGGAGACAACATTTAGTTGGCCTTGAAATTACAGAAGGCTCCGGGTGGCATTTTGTAGTCAATTAGGGCATTGGAAACCACGAATCCAAAGGATTTCTGGAGTTTTACTACTATTTCTTTATAATTATTATACGGAAACGACATATGGAGTATGCCATTTAGTACAATACCCAATATAATTCGACGCAGCTGTCAATATAAATACGAACGTCAGTAACGTAGGTATTTAGAAGAATCTTTTTTATCGACAACGACCAAATAAATAGGTCTATTTTGTAATAATGGAACTAAATATTCAATTAATTCATTGAAATTCAAAGACGTGTAAGTTTGGTGATAATGCGTTTAAGTGTTTGCACAATAAAACTGAAGTTTTTATGTCCATATGTTATATTAATTTGAATAGAAACTTATATTTAACAATCTTTGTGCGATTCAACTTAAACATAATCTAATTAGGACTTTAGATTGTATATCTTGAATTTTACAGAACATTACATATTCAAAAAATGTGTAGACAATCATTGAATTGTAATATTATATGCATAAAATACTCTGAATCAAGATAATAAAAATAAATTAAATGTTTATTGAATATTGTACTGTGAAATTTTACCTGTAAAGCATCTGCGGCTTGCATTAACCTAGCAAGTTGTTGTTGCTCAACATAAACCTCCCCTCGGTACATAAACTCTACCAATGCTTGAAGTTCCCACATTCGCATGTCTCTCAAAAATATTATTGGATGGGTACATGGAATATCGAGCAGTAAACGCTCTAAATAATCACTACAAGCTGAGAGTACCACCTTGTGGCATTTTATCGAACCACCATCGCAAGCTAAAGTAACGTCGACGAATTGCTCTGAACTCAACAGCTTTGGAAAGGCATTGTGCATGTTCGACTGATGGGAGTTCCATGAAACACAGAATTGTTGACGATCTCCACCAGGATAGTTGCCTGGGTTCGGCAAATTTATCCCAGAATCCATTTCAAGCAATTGAATAGGTCTGACGTGTGTTGGCCAAAGTTGCGATTTTTCTGGTAAAAAAACAAAGGAAACGTTTAAAGCATAGTTATTCAAAATTATAATCGAACAGTATAAATATGCACAATGACATTAATATTAAGTTTCACATTACAGCAGATTCAAAATAACATCATTATAAAAGTACGAGATACAATATCAAAAAGGTACGAGTTGATCAGGGAAACTATTATAACCTATGTATAACATGGTATAACACTTTTACTTGTTTAACATTAGGGTAATAGGAAGTAGATGAAATAATTACTGCATCTCTATAACGTTATTCAACATAAACTAAAAGAAATGGCAATTAGTTGTAAGATGCACAAAACTGAAAAGGTTAAGTAATTGTTGAGATTTTAAACATTTCTATAGCACATCCATGAATTACAGCTACTTATTTACCTCTAAAATAAAATCGTAATTATCTTTTCATGATGTGCTATATTTCAAAACTCTTTGTGTTCCTTTTTTTAAAGAAATTCAATAAAATAAAAAAGGTTTGTTACAACTATATTCTACTTTACTTTGTTTAACATGAAAGAACAATGTATCAACTATGCGTAAATACAATAATGCAAAAAATAAATGAACACACTTCCATTTTAGAGGATAATTACCAATTTACAATTTTTAATTATTTTCAATAAGTAAAACAGATTTTATTTGAAACAGTATGATTCAAAATGTCATGTACTATATTTACGTAAATCTCTATACTAAAAAAGATTCAATATATTGCAAATTTTCATAAATGTGAAATATTAGGAAAACATACATATACACGATTAATGTCAATTGTTTGAGAGGATGTAATAGAAGATTTTGAAGCTTGATGTAATAAGAAATTAATAGCACTTTATCGGATAAAATAAGCAATTAAAAACAAAACAGTACTTTACATGTTGTTACAAATATATATAAAAATTTAAATTAGTGTCACATATTCTATGATATGAGAAATATTATTAATAAATTCTGGAAGGTGTCGAAGAAAAAAAAAGTTCCAATGGTGGATCTTTCACAAACAGTAATACATATATTGTTACCCAACAATTAGTAAAAATACAAGGAAAAACAAAGTGAATTATAGTTTACAATATTTTATAAAATGAATTTGAACATTTTTAAATAAAACCAGAACAATAATAAAAGAGCACTGCTCACTGAATATTAGTCAATAAGGTTAGTAATAAGATTACAAATTAACTCAGCTTATTGGGCCTAATTTGTAATATCCAAGCCATGTTGCAATTTATTTAAATTGCTACATGTTACATTAATAAGCATGCTTTACCCTTTGCTTGTTGCTTAAATCATAATGCAATAAAATGTAAAATTGTAGCAATAAATTTCACTACAATCTGTAATAACATAAATAATATCTGATTGCATCTGACAATTATATTTTATTTATTATCTAAACTGTAAAGTATTATTATCCCTACTCAATTTTAAATTAGCTGGCAAGTAATGAGAAAAAATAAAGAAGCATTGTAGGTAAGAAATAACTATAGAATAGTTCAGATAAAAATACTAATCCATGACTTCATCTTCATTGTACTTAGTGATGTGACAAGGCGAATACTTTACTAACTCGAGTTACTTGAATTTGAAAGCATTGCCAACTTGAATTTGGACTCAAGTCGGTAACTCTGTGCCATATACATTTGGTGCGGCGAGTAAAGTCTATAGCAAGTAAAACAACTTGATCAACAGCGATTCGAGTTATTTGAACATTGCCAACTTGTGTTGACAACTCAGTGCCAAATATATTCGGCAGGACGATTCGAGTCAATGACGAGTTGGTGCATAAATCAATTCAAATAACGATTACTCGAATAAACAAATAAGGTTTAGTATCTCGATACGACTAACTTGATCTCCCTGTTACCCTTGTACTCACATTTGTTTATACTAATAACTCGAGTTACAATAAAAATTACTTGAGTTGATTCGAATACATGCTTCACTTGAGTTTAATGAGTAAAAATACTCGACTTGTCACTTCACTAATTGTACTCGTAAATCTGGGATTTATCGGGTCCAGATCCAGTAAATCCAAATTTAAGTGTCGATCAAGACACTTGGAATTAGATTTGCATATTTATTAATGTGATAGACATGAAATCTACAGGATCCAGACCGAATAAATTCTGAATTTAGGAGTGTGATAGAGATATAGTCCATGTGTATGAAGAGATGTAAGTTAAAAACTTGCATGACAGCTATACTACGCTATACTACGTCGATCCCCATATTATGCTATAATAGTAATTCTGTTGATGCTAGGTCCATAAATTGGCAACTATACTATAATATCAATCCTGTCAATCCTAGATCTACATACAAAGACCTAAGCAGTACATCACGGATAAAAATATATAGTACAAGTTACAAATAAGAAAAGGACGAAACAGAACAGCATTATTCGTATTATATTTTTAAATCATCAAAATATTTGAACGTTCAATTTTCCTTGTACAACAGAAACTGAATAGCTGACGTTTGTAATAAGAACTAACAATGAAAGAAACTATCAAAACATGTACTTTACCTAACTTCTAATGCGCAATTTTTGGTTAATTCAAGTAAACAAAAATTGATATTAATTGATCAATAAATCAAAGAAGTTATATTAAATAGAATAACACCATTAACGTTGGTTCAACCAAACCGATAAGATCTAGAAATACCAAAACTACATAAAACTATGAAAATTGATAACTATAAAAACACAGTACACCCGTTAAAGGTCTACAAGAACCGGTAATTATACTTTTTAAATGAATAGACATCCAGAAACTATGGCGATGCAATAAGAAATGGTAGTATGAAAATTGTATAAAAGCTGCTAGACGATAATTCCTTTAAATTTGACTACGTGATCAATTAAACTTAGTTCGATCCATCGATGAATAACAATAAAGTTGTTTTAATATATACAAGGAAATGGTTTAGTTGGCAAAATGTAGGAGAAAACGGGAGAATAAAAATAAGATTATCCGCAAATACAAGATCAGGGCGTACACGCTTCAAAGGAGTAAAGGGAAGCGTCGTAGACGAGCGCGCCGACTTCGGATTCCTCCGGATCTAAGCGCAACCTGAGATCGAAGCATGGAGTCATGGAGGACGTAAAAGTTCTACAACATGGCTGTCACAGTGTAAGAATTCAGGGTGACAACAAATCGCAAACAAGCGGTCCGAAGTAGAAGGGTGACGGTAAGGGGAGAACGAGGGTAAAATGACTGGGGCGGCACCGGCGTGCGCATACGTAGGCGTGCGTTCAGAACGCCTTAATTTCCATCTTAATCGCCACCGCTAATGACTTAACGGTGCCTGGTAACGGTAACGGTAAACTAACCGAGATACAAAGCATCGGGCTAAAGAGCCAGAAAGAAGCTCCGACAGCGAATGCCGCGAAGGAACGAAAGAAGAAAAAAATCGAAGCTGGACTAAACTGGGTCTGGAGTGAGGCTGGATGAAGAGAAATGCAAGAATCCTCTGATGCACCCTCGCGAACAGTCACGTGCTCGGTAGTAAACTAGCTGGGGATTGTATATAGGTTAGCCGAGAAGGCGAGAGAATATCGTCCGCGGAGTTCCGAAGCGCTGTGTAAAAATGGTGAAACCTTCGTGGGAGACGCTTCAAGGCACGAGGGCTCAACTACCCCTCCCGCTCCTGAAACAACTTGGACACAACTTTGACGATTCACCTTATTTTTCCAGGGTCAAACGAAGCGCAATCACCAGAGCATCGGTCAAGAGACGTTGTGCGTCCTCTCCTGCGCGTACTTTCACCCGCGACGCGGTGTTCTTATATCTCGGTCGACTTGGCTATCCCTTCGTCGTCGACGCGTCGTTCTTTGGGAAGAATCCCTTAAGAAAACATGCATCCGCCGAGATTTGCACTGCCTAGGGGAGCTGAGACGTACGGGTGGGGGTAGGAAGACTGGGGGTAGCTGGCCTGACGGTGTCGATCCCAGCGGCTAGCTCGAAGACCAACCAACAATCCTTCAAAACGTCTCGAACGTGAATGTCTACGTCTCCATCGCCCTCCTAAATCCGGGATTTATAGGATCCGGATGTAGTAAATCGCATGTCTCCATCGCATTAATAAAGAAACGATCCCGAGGGTCGATTCTGTAGCTCGAATCTAGGGAAAATTCTAAAAGTGAACATCTCCCGCGATTCCGTAACTTTCACTATGGTAAAAATGTGACTTATTTCACGTGAGACTACTCTACCAGAAACTCGGAGATCTCGAACCAAATTCCTTCATTCTAGAGACTTCACGTTTTCATTTGGAGAATCGTGCGAATAAACTCACGTGAGATGACAGGGCGAGCGACCAGGGTTGGGTAAGTAGAATACCCCAGGTAATTTACGTGGTTCTTTACAGTAAATTACTTGGTATTTTACTCTAATTTCATACGTGATGTAAATTACATGAATATGGGTCTTAATGTTTCTGAATTTCCTGTTCCTGTTTCTAATGGTCATACAAACTGATATGCATTGACACGAACGTACGGAAATCTAGAATGTGTAGCCTAGATCGTTTTAATGGTTTACTCCTACTTGTCGTTATTCTTTATTCCTTTTTTTTTATTAAAATGTTTATTCCCAAATGATTTATACTTTAGCCACTTTAAAAAAAGGAGATTACAGCACCGCCATCTTTGTTGGGTAATTTGTTAGGTATTTTACTTGAATGTTACGTGAAATACTTCTCTTAAGTATTTTACGTAAAAAGCTTCGAATTACGCGCCGCTACCCAACCTGCGAGCGACCCCCAGGAGGTCGATTCCGTAATTCGAGTATAGTGAAAATGTGAAATGTGAGCCCCTTCGTCTATTCTATAACTTTTACTACGGTAAACAGGTGAGATACTCCGCGCGAGACTGCTCGGCAAGAGATGTCGGGAATTCATCCATAAGAGTAAAGTCAATTATTAGCACTAATATTTTGTATTTTATAGCGTATGATAGTATGTTAACAATAATATCTTTACGCTCATTAAACGATTATTTTTATATTTCTATTCTACCTACCGTAGTAGCTAATCACATGTATGGTAAATTCACGAATGTGAATTTACCATACCACAAACCTTTTCACCATAGTTCTAGTCATGGGATTTTATTATATACATTATATTATATACATACGATATTATATACATTTCCACTCGGAAGATACAGAATCGGGTAAATAAATTCACTAACCATATTATTGTGCTAAAATCTTAGCTTTCTCTGATTGGCTGAGATTTAGATGTCACTTTGAGTAGCGAATAAAGAACGGTGCGGGCTGTGAACAGATAAACAGTAAATATAGTATAATATGCCACGTGTGACATAAAGAAGTGTAAAAACTATGTTTTACATATAAGAGTGGCAAAAATAAATAAGTTAGATAAGACAGGAAATATGAAGCAGGTGATCTACCAATCAAGAGGCTGAAAAATTGATACACCAATATGGCTATCCTATCCTTTTTCGATGGGCCAGCTTTCATTGTTGATCTAAGATGGGTCTTTGGGCTCCGTCCCATGGACTCAAGAATATATGAACGGACCCAAAGACCCATTTTGGATCAGGGGGGAAGCCGGCACGTTGGAAAGGGAGGAATAGGATAGCCATATTGGTGTGCCAATTTTTCAGGCTCCTGATTGGTAGGTCAATGCGTCATTTTTCCTGTTTGCTCTAACTTATTTACTTTTGACACACTTGTATATAAAACATAATTTTGTACACTTTTTTATGCTACAAGCGGCATATTATACTTCATTCACTGTTTATCTGTCCACAGCTCGCACTATTCTTTTTTAGCTACTCTTAAAGTGGCAACCACTGAAATGTACAGTAAACTGGAACGCTCGCCACGCTTAAGAATACACGACGAAGCTTGTCTCAAAGAGGGAGAGAGAGAGTGAGAGTGAGATATTTAGCTGTCCCTGTATCTTTGTCGCACAGGGTCCAGTAAGCATCGGTACGACGAAGATAAGTAATGGCTGACTCTCCATCGTTGTTCCACCCGCAGAGAAAATATATCTGCCCTTGTTTAAGCGATGCGTGCGCATCATTTGTACAGTCCGAAAGGAAAGTCCAGTGGAATGCAGAGAAGTGGTGGGGCAAACCTTATCCGTAGGACAATAGTTTGATAGAATGTCGTATTTCTGTATATTAAAATCATGCAGTACGTTTTGCATTATTTACCTTTAATTATTTTACTGCGTCATTATCTTAGAATAGTTTTCTATGGAGGAAAAAATGTGTAATAGAACTGTACACCTAGTAGTGGGGATGACCAAGGACAGTTCGAGCCGAACTCGTTGGTAAGCGTTCCAGTTTACTATATAATTGAGTGGTGACAATTAAATCTCAGCTAATCTGAGTAAGCTAAGATTTTGGCACACCAATATGGCTACCTTCCCATTATTCCTACGTGTTCCCGCTAGAGTTCTAAATCCAGTAAGTTACGTCAGAAATGAAGAGAAATTCCCGGTAACTTATCGGTAATTTCTCCAAAGCCTTTTTTATCGAGAAATTATGAGAATTTGAATTTTTCAACAGATCGAACGAGAGGTTTCGATTAGCTATAGAGAAACATCGTAGAGGGGAATTTCCGTTGTACGTTCTCCGTAGCCAATCAAAACCTTCCATTCGCTTCGTCGCAGAATGAAATATTAGTTCATTTGAAACAAATCGCATGGAATTTTCCGTGAAGTTGTAGATACGTGAATATTTTTAGCTGGAGGTAAATACGACCCTATAATCAATTTTTCTAATAGTAATTATTACTCTATAGCTTGAACTTTGAAGTTGATCGAAAAAAAAAGTTATTTAAACGAAGAAACCTAAAGTATAAATAACAAAATTAACGTTCTCTTAAATTCTCAATGTTCCCGGTAACTTACGGTATGTTTCACAGTTACCTTCTCCAATTTAATGTTACCGAGAATTTTCGAACTCTAGTTCCCACCTTACTTACTCAAGTCTGACTCCATCCGTGTATTTTTACGTCCGTGGTCTGATCCGATGACTGTCTGCAGGGTTGGGTAAATTCACGATTTTCGAGGTTTTTGACGTATATTATGTAAATCAAGTAGTTTATCGTAGAAAACGTAGAAAATCAGGAGAAAACGTATCAAACATGGTGGACAAGACAGACGTAGTGCATACTGTATCCGCTAGGTTATAAACATCTATCTTGTCCATTTGTGTCATCCCATAATTTACTTTTTGGTCTTCCACCTTTATACATTTTGATACAAATATTGGTTACGAATTTTACGACTTCAAATAGCCGTTATCAGCCGCTATAGACAAACGTCAAATGCACATATATGCATGCACTGGCATTCATCGATACCTTTCCTCGCAGACTACCCTCTCCGGCCGCGCGGCGTACTAGCGGCGGGAGCAGCGCGAAATTTGAATCGCCCATGGGCAGAATGGATTTTCCAAGGAAAATAAACGTGCACAAACAAAAACAATTAATGAAAATTATTTGAATATTATTGTGAAGCGCTCCTGACCCACTTAGAGCAGTTTTTGTTAAACGATTATTTACAGAATTTCTTTAAGAATATATTAAAGCAAGTTTTATTTAAAGTTAATTAGTTTCTTAGCGATTCAATTGTTCCATCCATTGAAACGAAGTTAGAATATTATCTTAGCTTAAAAAAATAGTTTATTAATATTTATACAGTGAAATGCCGTAGGAAAATTTATAATGTATCCACTTTCGGACATAGAAGTGGAATCATGATTTTATGTCTCTCATATATTTACGTTCTACACCTTTCTCCGTATTCCTCGAATACATGAACACCTGTAAATCATTAAATGAGCATGTAAATGAGCTCCCGTAAATATATGTAAGCTTTTTCTTATCCGAGTTTTTTATAAACGCAAATATGAGTAACTTTTATGAATTGAATTCATTCAAAATAGGCATCCAAAACGTAAAATACCATTTTTTATTTCGTATTTGAAACAAAAACAATAAACTATTTTGATTTTCTCGTCGCTAGTACGCCGCGCGGTCGAAGAGGGCAGTAGGTCCGCGAGGAAGGCAACGATGAATGCCAGTGTACATACATTTCAAATTTCCGAGGCTGATTTCGAATGTGCGCGGATTTGTGGATGAGTAATGCGTAATCCCCTTAATACCCAATGAGAATCTCGCTTAGAGGTAAATATGTGGACTCTCATTGGTTATTGACGATATTGCGCATGCGCTTTGAACATTTAGTTTGAGGTAAATTTTGTGCCCGCATAAAAAATTAGGGACGTATTATACATTTTAATATACGTATAGAAAACCCGTATAATACTTGACGTATTATACTTACCCAACCCTGAATGTCTGATTTAGGAGTGTGATGGAGACGTAGTCAATGTGTAATGGTTCGAACTCGATAAATCCCTGATTTAAGAATACGATGGAGACGTAGTCTAAGTTAGTAACTGACGAATAGTCTGCTCTACGGTGGAGCCTAAAGGGTTTTTTCTCTTGTCAACCCCCTTCTATCCACCCCATCCTGTTAGCCCCGACATAAAGGTAAATATCTGTAGATACATTTTCCAAATTTGTTGAAATCGGAAGCACGAATCTCAAATTTTCACCCTGAAGACGGTTGCTCTCTACAACCAATGTCACTGCTAGGATCCGTTGCAATGCGAAGGGAAAGCGTAGGAGAAATAACATCCAATTGATCGATTGAACATGATGGTATTTGGTTTGAAAACCGCGGAGCAAACGGTTTGTTCTCGAGAATCATTTTGTAACCCTACCGGGACGCTTGGCTTAAGATTTTCTGTTGATGACGTCATCCTGGCTTCTGGAAAGACGGCGCGACCGTACATGTCATACTTCATCAAATCTAAAGTAGAGTGGTTTAATGTTTCGTTTCTTTTTCAACTTGTTCCGCGATTTGTCAACACCGATTGCATTGAAATTCAAGCCGTGACCTTGAAAGTACACGCGACGCTTCACGGCCGATCAGGTGTAGTTGGTAGAAATAGGTTAGTTTGATGGAATTTGGGATGTACGCAGTAGGTTAGGTTTTGTGACTTATGGAATTTTCGGACCTATGGGGTACTCGTTTTACAACAGATTTAATACTGCCTATTAAGCAGGGATTTTTTAAATTAATTTTCGAGATAAGTTTCTTGGTACCTGTAACATTGATTCTGCAAGAATCATCAGTGTTGCAATCTAAATAATGGCAAGTTAATATCAAGTGGAAATGATCATGGGAAAAGAATTTTATATACAAAATTGGTCTTTAGTATTGAGAATATTAATGAAAATTGTATTACAATTTGGATAGAATGTGATATTGCACTCAAATAACCTAGTTGTTATGAGCAGTTGTTAATGGTTAAAAGATAGTTTGAAGTTGATGTAAAGGCAAATTTATGCGGTACCAGTATCTTGTACGAGTCACTAAAACCGAGTATTACTTGTCTCGGGTAAATTGTCATTCCGTTACTGGAGTGGAGTACTCCCCTAAGTGCCAATGCGAGTCGAGGCAATAGAAAGCAATCCTATTTCCTGGTGTGAGTTGTAACCCCCACCACGTGTTTTACTTTACTGTCTTGTATACCAGATACGTGTATACACATTTTTCAAGGACGGCGTGAAAGTTCCAAGAGCAAATTGAAGTGGTTCTGTGCAATTCTGTGATGAATTTTGTGTTGGAATGGCCCAAAGGTGGACAGAAGACCTCATGTTGACATTTGTTGAATTGTATCGAGGGGAAGAAGGCCCCTAAAAGTCAAAACTGCAATGGGACAAGAATAGAGAATACAGAATACAGAATAGAGTTCAACTCTTCACCTAACACGTTCCAAATACTGTTTACTCATTTTATTCATAAAATGTTTAACATTGCGCTGCCCCTTTGACATTTTTGGGTTATAGCACGTGACTTTCTGCTTACTACTATGCAAGTACTACAAGGCTGGGTAAACGGTACTATCTTGTAAAGCGCTTACTTCCAGGACTCGGTTTTAGTGACTTGTACGAGTTACTGGCACCGTGTAAATTCGCCTTAAGAATGAGTGCAGCAATAACTGTTGGAGGTTTGGAAAAATACATACATACTGATAATTGTATTAAATTCTAGTTCGTTACAAGAATGTTATTCATTTCTTTAAAGTCTTTTACTCTCTGAAGTGAATTCACTTCTCTGCCTTACATGTTGATACACAGAAAATGTAACGATAACGAGTCAGACAGATTCGGTGAAGCTACATTTAAGAAACCTGCATATTGTTTGTAATTTGCCTTTATTTGATTTGATCTTATTTTGTTCAGAGTAGTCAGTGAAGCTTTATTTGACTCAAGAATTTCGTTTTTCCTAGAAAGTGATTGTTTCGCTCAGTGTACATGCATCTTTACGTTCGTATGAAAATACTGTACCAGTTAAGAGTTCAGAATGCATTAACTTGCTTTTCTTTCTTTTTCCTTTATCACAGGGGAACATAGCCAATGTTGATATACTAAATAGTTAGAAGTATGATCTTTGCGATACTTGGGACTTTCCATAATTAAAAGTGAAGTAGATATGGCCGATAAAATACTTAAAATAAGAAATGGATTGTGTTCTATCCATTTTAAAGGAATCTTGGTAATAAGTTTGGTCATAAAATGATTTCGTAGGTCAAAGGTGCCTTGACAGATATAAATTTTTGTAGTTTCCACTGAATCGCTGGGTCTGCTTTTCCACTGCTTCAACCTGTGGATTTCCATGTTTATCGCGTACCAAGAAGTGTTGAGTATAAACCTCAGAGTTTTTAATCGGAACCATTGAAGGATTTCTAGATTTGACTTGCTCGCAATCCCTCACAGCTGCACTGTACATCTACACTGGCCTTATATTCACTTTTTATAGGGAGTCCCAGAAGTCGTAATCCCTGAAACTGGTGGAGGTTAGCGATGTTTGAAGTTGAATGTTCCTTTGCCATATTTTGCTAAAGTAATTATTTACAAAGTTGTTAATACTAGAACGATCGGCAAATTTTTTTTTGTATAGGATGAGCCATTTGAAACAAGTCATTTTGACCCGTCTTGGTAGTTCTAGTGTTAATAAAGTTGACCCATCTCAGCCGCATGATCCAAATTCGACAATACCGCTACGTAGCGCTGGGCGCCCCGGAAAGGATACGGAAAAGAAAATTTAAAAGAAACTAAAAAAAGGAATGAAAAAGGCAAGGGATGAAAAACATTCTTCTAAATATCTACGTTGCCGACGTTCGTATTTATATCGGCAGCTGTACTGAATTATATTGGGAATTGTCAGGGTGGTTAAGGTGAAGTGAAACATCGTTCAAATCAGTCGATTCGAATACAACACTTTTTTTTTAAGGGTATTAGACCAAACTGTCCGAAACTTTGACGCATCACTCCTGAGCATCTAAGACTTGTCCTGACACATTCAAAATTTGGATTTTTGTAAAAAATTTTTTTAACTCAGCCCAGACCAGAACCAAAATGGCGTCGAGCTCTCATATTTCGATCAATATACAATTATCGAGCGCTCTGATATGAGAATCGAAATAGTCAGGACAATTTTACGACAATTTAGAACACTCTGGTAATCGATAAACTCGCATTTGAACAGGATAAGGGCAAAAAAAGTGTTGTATGCGCTGCTATGCTATAACGATGGGAATACGGGGTCTCGGAGTGACAGTTAAATTGACCTGGAAATCACAGATGGCGCAGGGTGTCCCAGAAAGCTTGAATCCAGAGGATTTCTGGAGTTTTACTTCGATTTCTTGATATTTATTATACGAAAACGACAGGTGTAGTATGCCATTTGGTACAATATTCAATGTAATTCGACACAGCTGTCAATATAAAAACGAATGTCGGCAACGTAGGCATTTAGAAAAATCTTCTTTATCGACGTTGATCAAGTTCCTCGACGTGTTTCACTTCACCTTAAGAACCCAGGTTTTATCGAAAAAATACAGGGTCGGGTTTTATCACGAAACTCGGTAGAGTTTCAAGTTAAATACATCTTTGAGTCAGAAACTCACAGCGTCACGTGGTGAGAGAAACGCACCCTGCGCGCTTGAGCTCGAGCGAGACACTACAGTTAAAAAACTCGGTAGAGTGTCGAGCCAAAAACATTTTTGATCGAGAAACACAGCGTCGTGTGCTGAAAGAAACGCGTTCCACGCGCTTGAGCTCGAGCGAGACACTACAGTTAAAAAACTCGGTAGAGTGTCGAGCCAAAAACATTTTTGATCGAGAAACACAGCGTCGTGTGCTGAAAGAAACGCGTTCCACGCGCTTGAGCTCGAGCGAGACACTACAGAGTTGAGATGAGTGGGGAGATGTTCACGTCATTGTTTGAAAGGAAGGCACGGCCCATTGGCGCCATCTACGTCCTATACACCTCTGTAAAAATTGGAACTACTTTCAACGGGGCGAAGTCTTCGTGATCGATAAAACGGGGTATTCGTGGGTACTGCGTCGTAATCACGATCATCCATATATAATCATCATAATAACTTTATTTGGTATTCGTAGTCTTCTTTCCCAACCTACTCTGACCCTGATACTAAAAACGAAAAGGCGATAACTTCATTCTATCGATACTGTGCTGTCTTTAAAATCTGCAGACGCGTTTTTCTTTATCGATAGAGAACACTCTGCCTCTTTGAAAGCAATTCCATGGCGCTAGTGAGTCGTGCCTCCCTTTCGACAATGGCGCGAAACATCTCCTCGCTCATCCCTGTATAGAGTCTAAACGCCAAGGATCGAGATTTCAGGAGTGTGTGGGGGGGATAGAAATACAATTTCTCCACTTCTATAGAAAAAGAAATAAATGTCCGATCAGCTAAAAAATCAAGGAAAAGAAATCAGGATTTTTTTAAAATTTATTCGGTTCCGATCATTGGTTCCTACGTGAAGGTATTGCATCTTAAAATGTTTTAGCATTCTCAGAATCGTTGTTTTGTTGTCATCAATGTCGTCGCCCCAGTCACAGACTACTTTTTTTGCATAGACATAATAGGTGGATCTTCATGTTACTTTTTGCATGACATGCCACAGCGCTCGACGCGGTATCGGTATGAAGTACAACTCTTCTTACAGTAGTAATTTTATCACTTTACCGACCGGAAGCCTGTTAATCGGTTTTGTGATACTTGGGATCGTCATTTATTTCCAAATTCGCCACTTGGTACAGTGTTAAGATGCACCTAAGGTGAAGTGAAACTACCTTCAAATCAGTCGATTCGAGTAAGACATTTTTTTTTAAGTGTATTGGATAGAACTGTGAAACTTTGTCACAAGACTCATGAGCATCTAGGAATTATCCTGACACTTTCAAAATTTGGATTTCAAAAAAAAAATTTTTATCTTAGCTCAGACCAGAACCAAAATGGTGTCGAGCTCTTCTATTTCGATCGATATGAAATTATTGAAGACTGATAAGAGAAACGAAAGTGTCAGGATAATTGTACGACAATTTAGAACACTCTGGCAAACGAGAAATTTGCATTTGAACCGGATAAAGGCAAAAAAAATCTTATGTGTTTCTACGCTAAAACGATGGTGATACGAGGTTTCAGAGTGAAAAATTAGTTGCCCTGGAAGTCACAGATGGCGCAGAGTGTCCCTCTGCAGTCAATTAGAGCCTCAGAAACCACGAATCCAGGGGATTTCTGGAATTTTACATCGATTTCTTTATCATTATTGTACGAAAACGACAGATGGAGTATGCCATTTAGTACAATACTCAATATAATTCGACACAGTTGTCAATATAAATACGAACGTCGGTATCGTAGGTATTTAGAAAAACCATTTTTACCGACATGGATCTAGTTCTTCGACGTGTTTCACTTCACCTTAATTCCGTGTTCGAGGCATTATTTTATTTGTAGTGGTGCCAGTATGACAACCTAATGTGCATTTTGTTGGAACCCGTTTTCCATTGAGTGTGTCACGTCAACACGGGAAGGTCGAAGACGAATCAAAACTGTCCTAGATTTAGTTTATACATATCACTTGGTACACCGTCGTTTACGTTAATCACATACCATATGATTAGAGGAAACCAAATCATTAGACAAAATATTTTTTACAATCGCTAATAAAAAGTTGAATATTTGGTGCCATTGCCATAGTAAAGTTTCATACCTTTGAGGTGATTTATTGGTCTAGAAAAGTTATCAATGAACCAGAAGTGATATACTTTTTGTACTTGATGGAAATGGGAGAATGAATTACTCAATATTAAAGTTGATTTGATTTCTTTAATTTAATTTCACGAGGAAGGACCATCTGTACGGTATGAACTTCTCCAGGAGACTAGCAACGCAAGTTAGGGTCACAGACTCCACAAGTCGTTGTCGGCTCTATACAAAAGAACCCTTGGTTCTTTCGCTATCTAAATCCTACGTTTATGTTTATGTGACACCGATATTCTCTGCGTCGATTTGTTTTTGAACCCAGTGTGTGGTTTCACTTACATGCTAGTGTATACTATCGGGAATAGGAAGTAACAAATTCTATTAAACAATCCAATAATACTTGACACATCCACTTTTGTCGTTCAGAAATATCTTGAATTAGTAGAAATCATTGAAGTAGTAGTTTAATGCTGGAGAATGGGAAAAGAAATTGGTGGCCACTGTGTTAAAATTCCGCATGGGATTTTCAATGCTTATCGTTTTTGGTCCAATTTAGGAGTATCTTGCGGAGTCTGTCAGCTTGTAAGAGGAAATAAATTTCATCAAGGTGGGCAATGCCGTATCATCGTGGAGATCACGCGGGCGCAGTTGCGGTGTCATATAGTAGCAGTCTAATGACGCCGTTGCCGAACAGACGATACTCCAGCACTATCACCGGGACAACATCTTCGGGTATCGGCGGCACTACCGGGAAACTTACTAGCTACAGGTCATCTGGAAGTTCAATACTCAACCGGCCTAGTGGTTATCAGTCCTCAACTACTATTTCCAGCTATCGCCCCACCTACTCCGAGTGCAGAAGATCCTTTTGCTCGCCAGCCAGGTAGGCAAATAATTTCGCTTCATCCCCATCCTCTTTAACCTCTTGACTTACAATATCGTGTGAGAGATGTGATATATCAATCGGGCCAAACGTGAACAGCACGTGTGAGACGTTAAACGTTCAGCCAATCCGTGAAATGGCCCGATGTATGACCGACATTTTTGTTGTTTATGGCACGCGCTATTGGAATTTAAATCGTAAAGCAAGGGGTTAAGGTGAAGTGAAACCCCCTTCAAATCAGTCGATCCGAATACAACACTTTTTTTTAATGGTAAAAGACCAAACTTTCCGAAACTTTGACACATCCCTCCTGATCATCTAAGAATTGTCCTGACACATTGAAAATTTGGATTTTTCAACAAAATTTTTTAACTCATTCCAGACCAGAACCAAAATGGCGTCGAGCTCTCATATTTCGATCAATATACAATTATCGAAGGCTCTAATATGAGAAACTAAAGGGTCAGGACAATTTTACAAGAATTTAGAACACTCTGGTAATCGATAAACTCGCATTTGAACGGGATAAAGGCAAAAAAAGTGTTGTATGCGCTTCTATGCTAAAACGATGGGAGCACGAGGTCTCGGAGTGAAAATTTAATTGACCTGGAAATCACAGATGGCGCAGGGGGTTCCTCTGCAGGGCAATTAGGGCCCCAGAAAGCACGAATTCAGAGGATTTCTGGAGTTTTACTTCGATTTCTTGATATATATTGTACGAAAACGACAGGTGGAGTATGCCATTTGGTACAATACCCAATATAATTCGATCCAGCTGTCGATATAAAAACGAACATCGGCAACGTAGGCATTTAGAAAAATCCTCTTTATCGACGTCGATCAAGTTCCTCGACATGTTTCACTTCATCTTAAGGGTAGAGTACTCAACGCTCAAGCCGCGTCGATACACCGGTTCTCGTAAGATCACGGAAGTTAAACGACGTGGGGCACGATCGCTCCTTGGATGGGTGACCATCAAGGAGGGGCATGGCGTGGCGTTGACGAAAAAAAGAATGGTACTTGGCCCTTAGTAGAACGGGCCGAAATCCAAACATACAAACAACAAGGATAAAGTAATTGTCCGCAAACGAACCAAACCGATCTTTGTCGGCAGAAACTGGTCAAAACCTGACAGGTGGTCACGTGGTCAATACTTATTTCGTAGACTTGACTATGACTATTTTACATAGTCATAATAACATTCACGTAGTTTTAATCCTAAGTATATTTATATAATGGATGGTCTAATGTAAATAGAGTGTTTATATGTTTCGGTTACTGTTAATGAAATAGATATGTTCGAAAAAGTACTACTACTTTGAAGGAAGCTACGCGATGCATGACAGATTGTTTGTTGTATTCTAATTCTTTCTAATAAGACGTCAGTATCAGCTTCCTTTTTGTTTAATCTATATCACCATAAAAACACCTGTGTAAAAAATATGCCGTTTAATGAAGGTAGATCAAAAGAATTAAATAGGTTTCTTCTGTCAAGTATGTGCATTGCACGCTACATGTAAAATAAAATGCCATAAATGGGTGTTATATAGTTATTGTCTTTTACAATTATTACTGAATGGATAAAGGTAATTAAATTTGTTACTCGCCGGACGAGTGGGTGGCAAAGCCATGGAATTTTGATGATTTCTCCGAGTGGTTCGGTGGACATGGAAGAATTCCTTTGTACGTACGCATTATTAGTTAATAATTTAGGAAGTAGGAAGAGGAAAATGCAAGCAGCTAGATTAATCTATTTGGTAAAATCGATAGGTTTTTTTGGTCCTCCAGGGGTAGGTGGTGAGGGATAACGATGGGAATTCAGGGATTTTTCAGAATTAAGATGATATGAAACTGGCTTCTGAAGCGTTAAAATGCTTACGAAACTTTTCTCCGAACTGTGTGCACCTAATAATTAGAAACTATAGCATGTGATTATGGAAACCCCAAGGAAGAACATGACGTTCATGAAATTTCATTTTTCAAACAAAATTTTGTATTTATCTCAAATTAGAACCAAGGACATATATTTTATCTGTTTTACGCCTTTCTAAAGCGTAGAATTGAAAACAAAGACCTGCGCGTCCTACGCATAACAATTTAAAATACTATATTAATTAAACATTACCGATTCGTGTAGAAAATACTGAGAAATGTTATATAAATATGTGTACTGAAATAAGCAATAATATACCGTGAGCAACACGTGCATTGTAAGTGCTCTTTGAACAAAAATTTAGTTACCGCTAAATATGGCTGATGGTCCTATTCGTCGATTAAATATGGAATCACGTCGGGTATTTTGCGCGAGCCATACTACCCGGTAACTAAGGGGTTATTCTTTTAATATGGTGATGCCTACTGTACATACATCAACTCAGCACAACTTTCCAGGAGTAAAGTGTGTTAAGGGTTGCGGTATAAAACTCGAGACCATACTCATTCGATGGTACATAAAGAATACTCCAAATGTACATAATTACCTCGCACGATATCTCCAATTCTTTAAAGAAATCGTCAGGAAACTATTCCACCCCTAGGAGAGAGTTAAGGTGAAGTGAAACCCCCCTCAAATCAGTCGATTCGAATACAACACTTTTTTTATGGGTATTGCACCAAACTGTCCGAAACTTTGACACGTGACTCGTGATCGTCTAAGAATTGTCCTGACACGTTCAAAATTTGGGTTATTCGAAAGAATTTTTTAACTTAGCCCAGACCAGAACCAAAATGGCGTCGAGTTCTCATATTTCGATCAATATGCAATTATTGAAAGCTCTGATACGAGAAAGGAAAGGGTCAGGACAATTTTACAATTTTGGAACACTCTGGTAATCGATAAACTCGCCTTTGAACGGGATAAAGGCAAAAAAAGTGTTGTATGCGCTCCTATGCTAAAACGATGCGAATACGAAGTCTCGGAATAAGAATTTAATTGACCTGGAAATCACAGATTGCCCCAGGTGTCCCTCTGCAGTCAATTAGGGCCCCAGAAAGCTCGAATCCAGAAGATTTCTGGAGTTTTACTTCGATTTCTTTATAATTGTTGCACGAAAACGACAGGTGGAGTATGCCATTTAGAACAATATTAAATATAATTCAACCCAGCTGTCAATGTAAGAACAAACGTCGGCAACGTAGGCATTTAGAAAAATCTTCTTTATCGACATCGATCAAGTTCCTCGGTGTGTTTCATTTCACCTTAAGGTGAAGTGAAACCCCCTTCATATCAGTCGATTCGAATACAACACTTTTTTTTAAGGGTATTAGATCAAACTGTCCGAAACTTTGACACGTCACTCCTGATCATCTAAGAATTGTCCTGACACATTCAAAATTTGGATTTTTGGAAAAAAATTTTTAACTTAGCCCAGACCAGAACCAAAATGGCGTCGAGCTCTCATATTTCGATCAATATACAATTATCGAAGGTTATGATATGAGAAACGAAAGGGTCAGGACAATTTTACGATAATTTAGAACACTGGTAATCGATAAACTCGCATTTGAACGTGATAAAAGTAAAAAAAGTGTTGTATGCGCTTCTATGGTAAAACGATGGGAATACGAGGTCTCGGAGTGAAAATTTAATTGACCTGGAAATCACAGATGGCACGGGGGGTCCCTCTGCAGTCAATTAGGGCCCCAGTAAGCATGAATTCAGAGGATTTCTGGAGTTTTACTTCGATTTCTTGATATTTATTGTACAAAAACGACAGGTGTAGTATGCCATTTAGTACAATATTCAATGTAATTCGACACAGCTGTCAACATAAAAACGAACGTCGGCAACTTAGGCATTTAGAAAAATCTTCTTTATCGACGTCGATCAAGTTCCTCGACGTGTTTCACTTCACCTTAAGGGTTTCGGTGCAAAACTGGAGACCGCGCTCATTCGGTGGTGCATAGAGAGCACTCCAAACGTTCATAATTACCTCGCAAGATATCTCCAATTTTTTTAAGAAATCGTTGAGAAACTATTTCACACCCCAGGAATAAAGTATGCGGTATAGGGTTGCGGTATAAAACTCGGGACCACGCTCATTGGATGGTGCATATAGAGTATTCCGATCGTGCATAATTACCTCGCAACTTATTTCCAATTTTTCGAAAATATCGTCAGGAAACGATTCCACCTTCCAAGGGTAAAGTGGATTAAAAGTTGGTATGTAAAACTTTCTTCTTCGGTGCAAAATAGCAAGAACTTAAGAAAATTAAGTTTACCGAAAATAGTGTTTCTTCAAAGGACAATAAGCACGGTACGATGAGAACGTATAATGTCATCAAATCGAATAATCCTGAAATGTGTGTTCTCAGGTTGAAAATGTTAGTGAAGAAAAAACAATAATACGACGTAAAACTATTTCATGCATACAATAAGGTCAGTTTCTTTGACATGTATTGGAATCTTATGGCGTTCGCTTTGCCAACAAATCAGTGTTGTGTTTTGTTAGAAATAAAGTGTACTTGGAAGAAAAAATTCGTGTACTCGAAAAATAGACATTTTTGCCATAAAAAGTATTACATCGATAATGTATAAAAAGAATATTTATGCTAATATACATTTAGGTAGAGGAAATCGATGCAAAATAGTATTCCATTGATTTGTTGCTGTGCGTTAAAATACCTACATGTAATGCAGAAAAACGACAAATATCTGCATTCTATTGCGATCAGTGTCTCTAAATCAATCCATACAATTCATGACATTCACTAGGTTCTTTTCACTTTGCAAGTGCCAATCATTTTCGTTTCGCAAATTAGGCCTTTTTCTCGGCTAAAAGTTACCAGAAGCTAGAGAAAGACTCATAATTTGATACCGCCAGCAATAGTGACGATTCCTGAATCGCCAGTAGTTTCAAAAGTTAATGTAAGCGATATTAGGTAACGATTTCCAATGCGTTTCGTATAATGCCATGAGTAACTAGATCGAATTGCTTAACACCATAGCCCTTGGCCGTCAGTCCAAACGAGTGGGCTTTCCTTATCTTTACTACGACCTCCACCCCTCTTCCTCTTCTCCCCAACGCTTCTCTTCGCAAAACACCGTCTCGGTCCTCTTCCCCCCCCCCCTGCCCCCCGATCTCTGTCGCCCTTTTGCAAATTCTTATTTGCAATTGCAGGTCAGTCTCATCGTTGGAATATTCGGAAGCGGGTTCACTTGGTTGCGGGAGCAGCCTGCGCTTCCCAGCTTCGACTTCGACATCGATCTCGGTGCCATCGCGAGAGCGCAGTGAAAGTCGCGAGATCCTCGGGAGCCTAACTACGTCGGCGGCAGACATAATCGCGAGATATTCGCCCTCAGGCTACGTGCCCAACATCCGCAACACATCTTCGTATGCAAGCGTTGTTCACGGAAGCTCAAGCTCCTCGGCGTCTATTTTTGGTGGGAACTCAGCCGACGCGAGGCCTACTCGGGAGTGGGAGCTGACGATCGCCGAGCGGACATCGTCCTCTTCACCGAATCCCTCGTCTTCGTCCTCGGGCGCCGTGGGACGTTCCTCAAAACTTAATTGGACGTCTTCCGTAGGCACACTGCTCCCCGGACATATACATCTCGACCACGCCGCCGCGACGCCGGCACTCTCTAACGAGGTAACCGATATGGACCAGCGCAATAACAACGGCAACGCTGGCGACGTCAGCGAAATCGAGAATTACTGACACTATGACCCCCTACCACCACCATCATCACCACCATTACCACCACCATTACTACCACCACCACCATCATCACCACCACAATTGTCAGAGCGATTCAATCGGAATTAATGACGCCGTGACCGTTATCTACTTATATATCCGATTCGATACTGATCCCGGTACTGAATGTACCGGAGATTTCATCATAACGATTGTCTGTAACGATCTCTCACCCATCGCTACCGCCGCCGCCGCCGCCGCCGCCGTTGCTGCTGTTGACGTTGCCTCTACTTCCACTACTACTATCACTATCAATAGTACTACCACTATTAATCACTCATATGTTAGTTACGTTAACAAGCACTGGACCGCGTTCACTAATGCAACCGAAAATAACGAATAGACTAACAATAATGTTTGTGCTCGCGTTACAAGCTCGGGGGAACCGACGTCGATGACGGTAACGACGATGACGATGACGGGAACGACGAGGACAAGGACGGTTACGAGAACGAGGATGACAATGATGACGAGGATGGTGGCTTACCCGACGCGTCGGTCTCCCCGGTCGCCTCGGTCGGTTCGGTCGCGCTATTTGCTGGCCAGTCGCGGTCCAGCCTGAAGGGGAACGAGGGCGGCGACGTATCCCAGCCAACCGTTGTCAAGAGGGCGATCCTTTTTGGCCTCGGAAGCGGACTCGCGGAGAAGGCTCAGGTCGCCTCCGGAAGGCCCCCCGGCAATCAAAACGATGACCCCTCCGCGCCGTCGACCTCCAAGCCGAGAAACGACCATCTGAACCCCGGAGCTACCGGCCTTCCCGGAATCGACGCGGCTGACGACGTGTCGTCGTCGTCGTCGTCCTCGAGCGCGCAACACCGGAATGCTTACCGCAACATTGCTGAGCAAATTGTGAGTGGTGGATATGTCCGTCGGATATGTCCCGCTATGGAGTGTTTGGTTCGCTCGACGACGGAGTTGCAATTTTTAGTTGAGCATTATTACGGCTTTGTCTTAAAAGACCCCTGACGTAGATCCGAATACGTTGTTGTCAAAGTAGTCGGACTTGTTTGGATGCAAATGACGGTGCGCGATCGGAGAGATTTGTCTCGCTTACTGACAGCATGTTAGATATGGAAAGAACGAACGTATCTGTTTCTGTCTATTTCTAACGCATCGACAAATGTTAACATTTTTTTTGTATGTGCGGTAAAATGGCTTGAACGGGTGAAACTACTCTCCGAAGTTGGGTATGCAAGGGGGTGGTGTCGCAGTTTTACTCGGGAGCACTATACTGATTTAAATGGAACAAACGACAACACGTTCTTAATGAGGAGGGTAGAAAAAGACATTAAGAGTTCTTTATGATGTATCATGTTGAAGGGGTGAATAACCCTTTCTATGATTACTTTTAACCTCCAGAGTAACTTTTCGAATTCAAGTTATTGTCATTCTGTAGCTGTAAAAAATAGGAAGGTCGCTCGGTTGTATTTTTACGAAACGAATCTGTTTGGAGTGGAAACAACCCCAATAATCGAAGTCGCGGGGGATTGTTTAACAACCGTATTTCGTACGATTTTGCAATTGTGCAGTCGTCTAAATTCAGGCGGGAGATTCAAGAGAGATCCGCAAAGCTTTTAAGACTGTCCCTGAAATACAGTGGGAACAAGACAAGACAAGTGGGACAAGAGCGATTGAAATTTATGCGGTATAGAGTAAAAATTCATGATTAGAAGGTATTAGTGAAGTCTCATGACAGTAAATAATCGAAGATATTTGAATCAATCTAGAGTAGATTACGGGGGGGGTTCATTTGATACCATCTACTCCAGTGACATCGAAGAAAATTCTTTTTTAATTTAAACACGGCGAATGAAGCTACGAATTCTTAATGACATTCACAAAAAGTTTGAACTGTAACTCCAATAATATACAACATATCATTACATGCACAAAAAATTCTATATTTGTTTCAAAACAAGCTCCACCTTGGACGCCAAAAATTTGCGACGGAAATTAGGATCTCCCACCCCACACTCTGCAAATCTAATGCTCCATGCAGTTCTCCTGCGATAATTCCGAGTTTGGCTGGCGATGGATTCCAATACAAGGGACGGCTCGCATTAATTTATTTAAGGCGCCCGGTAATTCTCGACATACCGTGAGCCCGTCGATTCTTCCGGCTAAGACATTCAGCCCGGCTCCCGGAAAAGCGCGAGAAACACCAACATCCGACTACACAGCCCTGCAAAGACCCAAGCGGCCGCTTACGGCACAGCAAAGATGGGGGGTTTCGGAACTCACGGAGCGGCGGTTATATTTTGGACTTTAGGATTTAACAAGAACAACAACGAAATTTAACGATAATCCTCGGAGACTCCTTTTAGTATCGATTTACGACAGCCACAAATTAATACATTGTAGTCCTATCAAACGGCCGCCACGCGGTATTGAAACATGGCGGGAGGTGGGTCGTGTATCGAGTAGGGTTTTGTGGGTTAACATTTATTTAAACGAGGGGAAACGACCTTCTAGAAAAACCCATCTTGGGTTTGCTCACCAAGTCAGTTTCAGACGGAAAAGCAACAGCAGTAGGGCGTCAGCGGCAACGGTGGTAGAGCGGCAATCGGTAGCACTGGCGACACTCGGAATATCCTGCACAATCAGCTCCGAGGATCGGTAGGACCACCGAATTATGTAAAACCGCTTACATCGATTTCATGAGGCGTCACCGAAACCGTCTGGCGCCGGGAATTAACAGCGATTATGCTAGTCGTCAGGAAGAGTACCGCGGCGCAGTTATTAAGGTGAAGTGAAACCCTTTCAAATCAGTTGATTCGAATACAACACTTTTTTTTAAGGGTATTAGACCAAACTGTCCGAAACTTTGACACATCGCTCCTGATCATCTAAGAATTGCCCTGATACATTCGAAATTTGGATTTTTGGAAAAAATTTTTAACTTATCCCAGACCAGAACTAAAATGGCGTCGAGCCCTCATATTTCGATCAATATACAATTATCGAAGGTTCTGATATGAGAAGATATAGGGTCAGGACAATTTTACGACAATTTAGAACACTCTGGTAATCGATAAACTCTCATTTGAACGGGATAAAGGCAAAAAAAGTGTTGTATACGCTTCTATGGTAAAACGATGGGAATAGGAGGTCTCGGAGTGAAAATTTAATTGACCTGGAAATCACAGATGGCACGGGGGGTCCCTCTGCAGTCAATTAGGGCCCCAGTAAGCATGAATTCAGAGGATTTCTGGAGTTTTACTTCGATTTCTTGATATTTATTGTACGAAAACGACAGATGAAGTATGCCATTTGGTACAATATCCAATATAATTCGACACAGCTATCAATATAAAACCGAACGTCGGCAACGTAGGCATTTAGAAAAATCTTCTTTATCGACGTCGATCAAGTTCCTCGACGTGTTTCACTTCACCTTAAATGCCCGAATTTCGACCACATTCCTTCTGTGACTCGATAGATGGAAGTTCCTTATCCGAGTAATCCTTCTCGCCTGGAACCGATAGTGACAATGGCTCGTAATATTAAATCTTACTTGAATAACAACAAATCTAACAAATACAACTAATGATTGCCCAAGACGACCCCGAGTGTCGCCAACCGATGTTGAAATTAAATAATTTCAAAATCCGATACTCACCGCGACCGCTGCGCCTTGCCTTGTGACGGCAAAATTCTGCCACGTGACAGTACTCAAAATGGGAAAAAACGATTATAGCACTTATGTTTTCCTGGAAACTATTTTCAATATGTCCAAAAGGTCGACGAAAATTGAATGAAATGCTGCTCCATAATGTTAAACGTATTGGGACGGGTCCGCGATGACGTTACAATGAGGATAGGAGACTTTGACTGTATGGCAAGTGTAGGGATCGAGCAGTCCTTTGTAGTACAGAATCCTTGACCACAATATGTCGGCCATCTGAATTATCTAATCACGCCAAAGGCGTACACGCAGATCACGATGGGCTGCGTATGCTGTCTATCCGTAGTTTACTTACTACACAGGGTGCTACACTCGCGTTGCTGTCGCGATTTACATTTATACCGCAAGCGTATTTATGTAATACCGAATTAAAACACGGCATATATGTTATACGATGTTGCAGCACGTGTAACGTGTTGACATCGTCCAAACAGGTGGTTTAGAGATCGCATGTACGAATAAAGAATAAGTGAATAGGGGACCACTTCCCTAGTATCTATTGGGAACTGTCTCCCGAGTGCAATTGAACGGGAGGTGGTTCCCCCTTTGAGCCAAAGGAAAGAAAGAGAGCGCTACTATCCAAATCCTGATTGCCATTTGACTACTGTAGAAGAAGGAATGGCAGAAAATACGAACCCGTAGATCGTATACAAAGATGGAAATAGATATCCGAATGCGATGTTGTGCAAGTGTGAGGGGAGTAGATACTAGAGATGTAGTCCCTTACTTAAGTAGGCTCAAGCCGAAGGAAGTAAAAACAGCGTGCTACTACCCCGATCCTGGTTACTATTTAACTGCCTTAGGAGAAAGAATAACAGAAAGGACGAGTCCGTGTAGGACGCATACAAGGAAGGGAACGGATATTCCAGTACGATGTTGTACAAATGTAAGGGCAACAGATACTTGGGAGGCAGTGCCGCCGTATTTGAGCCTAAGGAAGGGATGAGAACGCGTTACTACTCCAATCCTGGTTATCATTTAATTGTAGAAAGAAACTGTAGAAACTGTTTAACTGGAGAAAGAATGGCAGAAGATACAAACTCGTTTACAACGCATACAAGGAAGAAAACAAATATTCCATTGGGATATCTGTTTTCTTCCTTGTATGCATACCACAGGGGTTCCCTTCGTCCGTCATTCGTTCTTTTACCTTGGTTAAATAGTACCCGGAAGGGGTAGTAGCGCGCTCCTTCAGTTTTTACGACAGATTCTAAAATTGCATCACTTATACATTGCATATCGTATACACGTAGAGGTTTGAAAAATAAATTGTTAAAGAGATGACAGATTGCAAAAAAATATATAATAAACCGTCTGCGTACTATGTCATAAAGACAGTAAATGAGTAAAAGGAAGAAGTAAGTACTGCTTGAAGTGCTAAAATATGAGGAATAATATTCTATATTAATTACATTTGAATATTATACCTTTTATTTATTTGTTAATAGTAACTCTAGTGTCTCAGTTTCTGTTTTAGTTTTATTTATTTCTATAAAATTTCGATCCCAATTGAATAGAATTTTTAGAGGATAACCCGAGCATCTGGGTCAACCTCTTTGGTGGAATTGATAGGTTTCTTTTATTGTCAAAGGGTAATCGTAGGGTTGCAAGGAGGACTGACAAAGGTTCTTAAGAATTAAGTCGTCATTTTATATTAAATTTTAACAGTTCTATTTGTAATAAAATCAAAAGTGGTACAGGGTCAATACAGGACGAGGTCAGCAGACGATGTAATTTTGAAAGGACGATTATTTATTTGGTAATATATAACAGTTACGGACAAAAGACAACAAGAACAGAATAAAAATTATAACAATTAACTGAATCGGTAGACATTACGACTGGACTAGGTTCTGTTGACGACATTAAGACTACACAAGATAATCGTTTTTGTTTTTATGTCTCAGTGCTGCCTTCTCGCGGAATGCCTCGATATCTGATGCCCGAATTTATTCAGAGAGAAATAATTACATCTCAACAGCATAGGATATGCTGTAATAAGTGAATGTAACGAGACGAGGCAAGGGTGTTGGAGGTTGCTCGCTAGCGGCTTGTGGAAGTGTAATAATATACGTCTGCGTATCAACTGCAGAATGTTGAACGCGAGATTCTTTTCTTGCAAGGTGCGCTTTGCCTTACTCAGCAAGGGCGGCTAATGAGTTGC